CAGGTGCTGCTCGGAGCCAGCGGCCTCGCCCTGGGGCCGCTGGCAGGGAGGTTCGGGGAGCAGCCGAGAGGGGCTCTGGCCTGGGAAAGGTCCGGGCGGGGGCAGCGGGGGCTGAGCTGGTTGGGCCGAGTGTCCAAGCGATCTTCTAATATTTAACATTATTTATTTATTTATTTCTCCTACCAAGAAATCTTAAGCACTTGCACTGAATTTGTCCTAAAAGGTAAAACCCTGCATGTAAAGTTTATTGTCCAGTGAGATCTATTAGATGATCATTAATTAATATACAATCTCTCTCAACTTATGACGCTGAGCTGTATACTCCTTACACAATATGTGGAATACAGGGGATGGAGTGGGTGGATTCTATAAGGAGTGGGGCTTATTGTTATTGTTTTTCTTTGAAATAAATATTCATGTAATTTTATTGGTATCTATCTTCATTTTTTACATTTACCAGTAGCTGCCTCATTTCCTACCCTAGGCTTATGCTCGAGTCAATATTTTTTCCCAGTTCTTTGTGGTAAAATTAGGTGCCTCAGCTTATATTCGGGTCGGCTTATACTCGAGTATATACGGTACTTATTCCAGGACCATTCCAAATAATCAAGCCACTGAACTATGACATGCACTAATTAGAAGGGCTGTGTCTAGACTGCATCCCTTTTTCGTAAAAGGGATGCGAATTAGACATATCGCAATTGCAAACGAAGCGGGGATTTAAATCCGGGCTGCGGCTTTTTTCTGGCTCGGAGCTTTGCCGGAAAAAAGCGCCAGTCTAGACGCAGATCTTTCAGAAAATAAAGCCTTTTACAAAAGAGCCCTTATCCCTCTTAAAATAATGAAGCAGAGGGGATTTAAATCCCCGCGTCATTTGCAATTGCAATATGTCTAATTTGCATCCCTTTTACGGAAAAAGGATGCAGTCTAGACACAGCCAAGATGTTTTACCCAAATCACTTCCCAGACAATCACAAATGCTAGAGTTCTGGGACTTTTTGCTGCAACAAGCAAATATTCTGGGTTTCTTTACCCTCTGTCACATAAATGTCACAGAGGAACCTTACTGGGAAGGAATTGCTTTTTACAGTAAGTTATATTTATGTTTGAAATCTATGGCACAGGGAACACTTACGCATTGGAGACTTGGACATCATGCCAGCTCTTTGACAGATTCTGCTTCAGTCCATCAAAAGTGGTCAAACCCAGTTTTCTCTTCAGCTCCCCACAGTGCCTCTCTTTGGCAGCCAATACCTGTCGCAGGGTACCAATCTCCTCTTCTACCTACAAGATAGGCTCCCAATTAGAAGCATGCCTTAATGTTACCCAACTCCAGTTTGATCACAATTTTTAATACAATGATTAAACCTGGAAAAAAATAGGCAATAGTTTTCACAGCTGCCTCAACGTAAATCTGATATACACTAACATTCTAAAAATGTGAGAAGAAATCCTAATTCCAGAAACCAAATTAAATTTGATTTTAAAATTGTAGACAGCTTAAGCTTTAGTATAACATCAGTTAAAATTCAGGGTTAAGTTAAAAAAACTAACCCTACTGAACACTTAATGCCGTGAAAAAAAAAATCACAGAAGCCTTTCCTAGGACTGGATCCTCGGTAAAAGTTAATTCTATTGAGAGGTTTATTTTTGTCCATTTGTTATTATTGAGAAACTAAGATACATCTATATCTGTGGTTTATTTTCTGGTTTCAAGCCTGTTTGCCATCATAAGTGTAAGCATCAGAAAATAGGTGGATGTAGAAAAAAAAAATCTTAGCAAGCCACAACTCAGTAAATCTGGACTGCTTTCATTACTGAAACTGTGTTCAAGTCAAAGAATCAGAATAGTTTTCCTCAGTGAGCTCAGGGAAACAGCTGTAGCTCTTACTTCCTTTTTTATTTCAGGTGCAAGTAACCAGAGCTGACATTTGAAGAGGTTACCTTATTTGCCCATTCAACTTTGCAAACCTGCAATATCATAAAAGCTTTTAGAACCAAACCCATTACCTGTAATGGGAAGGAGCATTAAAAGGAACTCCATGTTCTCATAATTTCTCCCCCATATTTCACCTGTTTTCTCACGCTGAAAGAAGCTTAAAATAGAGTGGCTTTTCGTTTAGCCTCAGTTTATGGAAAACCATTTTCCTTTTAACTTTGATGTCAGGACAAGGGTGATAAAGGTGCTAAATGCTGCAGCAAAACCAGGAAGGAAAACATGAAATAAAGCATATTGTTGAAGTCTACAATATTAGTAGTAACTTTTATGTTTCAGCAGCAGTGATGGATTTAGATTAGGGATGTTAAAATGCTGTTGACTGATTAGTCAAGTAGTCGATGGAATTTCCATCGACTACTCAAATAGTTGATAGGCACTTGTAAATTTCAAAGGAGGAATGCGGAACTCCAAGTACAGCCCGGAACCAGCGGGAAATCCCGCTGACTCAAGGGTGCCTGTTTTGAAATATACAAGAGTCCCCCACTGATTCCAGGCTCCATGCTATGCTGCATGCAGCGCAGAGTCCGGGGTCAGCTGGGAATTCCTGGGCTCTGTATGGCATTTCCCCAGAACCCAGGGTCATCTGGGGAGCCCCCAGCTAATCCCAGGTTCCACATGGCATTTCCCCAGAACCCAGGGGAATGCCATGCAGAACCCGGAGTCAGCTGGGGAATCCCCAGGCTTGGCATTTTAAAGGGGCAGCACCACACAGCTGCACCTTTGAAAGGCCACCTGGGGTTTCAAAGCAGCAGCACCACACAGCTGATCCCCAGCTCAGCTATGCAGAGTTGCTGCTTTGAAGTACCTCTTCCCCCACCCATTGCTGCCTCTCTCAGAGGCAGCAAAGGCCGGGGGCGGGGGGGGGGAGAGGATTGACTACTCAACTAGTCCTTAACATCCTTAATTTAGATTGCAGAAGAGACTCGCATTACACCATTGCTCAAATCTAAAATATTTCGCATCCCTTAAGCTTTTTTATAGTACAGGGATTTACCACTTGTCCCTTTTACTTCTTACACATATAATAGCACAGTCTAAACAGAAATGGTATTTCCATTTTACCTTGGCAAGCTCAGATCTTAACTCCTCTTCCTCAGCCTCAGTCAGCCCCTCGGGTACAGAGGTCCTTGTACTAGCAGTACTATCCACAGGTACATCTGTCATGGTATCTGACAACAGACCTTTGTTGGGAGAGTTAAGGTTGATATCTGTCACAGACAAGAAGCAGAACGTGGGAAAAATAAGCAGCTAGCAAGCAAAGCATGTTATGCAAGCAAATGTGCTCCACGGTTACATGCAGAGGGAGTGCTGGTGAGAAAAAGAGGAAGAGAAAATTCTCATCTAATAAAAAACTAAAGCACCTTTCTGAAATATCAGAAAAAAATGTACTAGTCAAAATATTTTAATAGCTCCTTGACCTAAGAAGGTAACATTAATCACTGAATACATACACTACTAATATACGAGTCCATGGTAAACAGGCAGAAGTTACACAAGATGCATCTCTCTACACAGGAGTGGATCTGAAATTAACTATAAACTGAGCAATCCATTGAAATATAACACTCCAGAGACTGTCCTGCACTGAACATCTGTGCCAGTACATCCCCTGAACTAGCTTTCAGTGTCTCTCTCATTTACAGAAAGCATATAAGGGAAGCCAACAAGTCAGCTCTCATTAACAAGTGTCATGACCTCAACTACTAGCTTGAATTATGCCCTATGAGTGCTGACGGTAAGGCAGCATTGCAGAGGCAAGCAAGCTTTGAAGTCATCCCAGCAAGGGCATTCTAGAGCAGCGTGGCATCTACATATGGACAGAACCAAGCCATAATTACTGTAAAAGAATGGAGTCGGATAGCCTCATCCCTGTAAGTGCAGACAGATTTGTTTACAGACTCCTCATAACTTCTAAAACAAGCTTGGGTTTGATTTTGGTTTGGTGTTGAGGGAGTCCGGTGGTGAACGGATCCATTTCTTTCTCTATTAAAAGCAGGTCGGACTCCAGATCCAGATAAGGTTGCACATGTATGAGACACTGGAGAAGGGACGCTATTTCCTCTGCCAAACCGAGTTCACCTGGGATACCTCTGATGTAGCATCTTCTGGTGTCTCTTGGGGTTCTGCCCGATGCCCGACAACACAGCCAGGGCACGTCCCCCCTCAGCCAGCAAGAGGGGGGCTTCCCCAGAGAGGGTCGGACTCCAGATCCAGATAAGGTTGCACATGTATGAGACACTGGAGAAGGGACGCTATTTCCTCTGCCAAACCGAGTTCACCTGGGATACCTCTGATGTAGCATCTTCTGGTGTCTCTTGGGGTTCTGCCCGATGCCCGACAACACAGCCAGGGCACGTCCCCCCTCAGCCAGCAAGAGGGGGGCTTCCCCAGAGAGGCCTACTCAGGGGGCTCCCCGGTGAGGGACCCCGCGTGGCTGCCAGGGTGTCGGCGCCGTTGGAGCGGCCCCAGCACCCTGACCCGACCGAGC